TCGCAGAGACCTGGCAGCAGGGAGTCGCTGCCTGATCCAGAGCCAGAGCTGAGAGCCCTGGATGCATCAGAGGGGCTTTAGGACTGCAAATGTCTGGCTCCAGCTGTGGGGTTTCACCGGCGCGGATTTTCCTGCTGGGAATGCGAAGGAGAAGGTGCTGCTGGGGAAGAGCCCGTAAATAGCCTCCATTTACATATGTAGGACACGGCCCGGCCCTGCCACGACCTACTTTGCTGCGGTCCCCACGGAGCTGGCGGCAGGGCTGGGAGGCGGCGGGTGGAAGAGCCTGCACGGGGCGAGCGGAACCAAAGGGCAAAGGGAGAAAAGTCCACCTGGGAGCCCAGTGAGGAACGTTCAAGAGGAGGTTCTTGCACTGCAGCCCTTGTCTGAGGTCTCACCCTTAGCTCAGGCACTTTGTCTTGCTGCTGCAAGGGCAAGAGGAAGAGGAAGGAGAAGAGAGGAAATTTTTATGCCTTGTTCTTCTCTACATCAAAGCTGCAGAGGGCTCAGAAGGCAAGAGAGAAGAGGAATCTCTCTCTCCTGCAGGAGGGTCGTTGGAGGCCTGGTAAAGGTACCAGGGTCCATTGGCAGGACAGGCACTAGTGTTCCTACACGGTGATCAGCCCCACATGGTGATGAACACAAAAACTCCTGTGCAGCAATAGCCCCCAGCACCCACGTGCACAACGGGCACCAACATCTCCACATAGTGATGGACACCTGTATCCCCATGAAGTGATAGCCACTAGCATCCATGTTCACCAGCATCCCTGCATGGTGACAGGAACAAGCACCCATGGGCATGAAGGGCACTAACATCTCCACATGGTGATGGCCACCTGCCTCCTCGTGCAGTGATGGGCACCAGCATCCATGGGCATGATGGGCACCAACATCTTCACGCAGTGTTGGGCAACAGCATCCCCACAGAGAGAGCCACCAGCATCCMTGCAGATGATGGGCACCGGCATCCCTGCATAGGGACACCAGACTCCTAGTCCCTGCCCTAGCCAGAGACCAATGAGCTTCATCTCCATGTCCAAAGGCAGTTGTGGTCTCCAACACCCAGGACATTCATCCAGCAGCACTAAAGAATGAAAACCCTTCTGGACACAAGTGCCACCTGCACCCAGGCATCCCAGCAGAACCTCAGTTCATCCTTCCCACGAAACCCATCCCTCCATTCCCAGCTGAGAGAAAAAACACCAAACGAGGGTGAAAAACTGGAATGTGACACCCAGAAACCACCCATGGTGAAGAAAACAGATCCCAAATTTCGGTTTCCTAAAAAAAAGTGGGGATTTTTCTCCATGTCTGAGCGTGCTGGCAGTGTGGGTTTCACTACAGTCACTGTTGCATCTTTGTAGGCCAATTTTAGCAAAAGTGTATAGAAAAAATAAGGGGAGAATTGTGCTTATTAGTGCAAAACACCAACCACGGCCTCAAGTCCAGGGGAATTGGGTCAACCCGCTGCAAACACACTGAGACCCGCTCGAGGTCCTGATGCACGAGCTGGGATGAAGGGGACACTGTGCGATGCAGGGAGATGGGAAGAGGATGTGGAGGGGGGATTGAGGCTCCTTTGGCTGCACTGCCACCCAGGCTGGCATGCAATGAGTTGCGTCAGGCCTCAGGCAGGCATCGGGATGCAGCAGAGCCCCACAGGCGGCCTGGCACCCATCACCACTGCCTCTGGGAGCCGGCCGCGAGGGAGCCCCTCTGTCCCTCCTGGAGGCAGAGCTGCATCTGCAGCCCGGGCCGCCGCTCCAAAAAAGGGCATCGCGGCCCCAAGCCATCCCCTTTCCATTAACAAACTCCTGGCGGACGAGGGTTTTTCCGCTGGGCTCGAGCCAGGGTTGTGCCGGGAGCCTCTGGTACCACGAAGGCCTCTGGCAAAACAGGGATACGGGGACTGGATTTGAATGCTGCTGCGGGCCGGGCTGGTGCTGGAGCCYTTTAAAAACTCCCTTTGGGAAAACTGTCCCCAAATAGCCAAGCACATGCAATGAGTGCAGTCAGGCCTCTGCAAAGCAGCTGTACGAGGGGCTGCATGGAGAGGTTGCACAGGGGAGCTGCAAGGGCTGATGTTGCATGGGGGGGTTACACTAGGCGCAGGCGGAGGGACACTGCAGCAGGCAGTGCCCGGGGAGGTGCTGCACTGGGCAGAAGTTGCATGGGGTGCATTAGATGCAACCCTTGGATTTGCAGGGGGGTTGCACAGGGAAGCGGGAAGCTGCGTGGGGTCCTTTGCATAGGGAGAGCTGCACAGGGGAGCATGTTGCATCACGGGTTGCATGGGCTGCGTCGCACAGAGGGACAGAGTAGTTGCACAAGGGGGTGCAGGGGGCATAACCGCACCAGAGACGGGATGCGGGAATGCATGGGGAGGAACAGGAGTTGCAGGGGGACAAGAGGACACAGAACCCTGGTGGCACGTGGTGGCAAAAGGCATCCAGCCACGTGCTGCAGGGGCACCGCGTCCTGCCGGGATCCGGCGGTGGCTCCTTGGCAAAGCCAAAGGCTCTGCTGCTTCCTTGGGCCAGCCTGGAAGGACACCAAGTCCCCTCTGCTACCAAGCAATGGAGCCACCCAAGGAGGACAAGGCTGGAAGTGGGGGGGAGGGTTGTGCCACTTGTAGATTCTAAAGTGTCTACTACAAGGTTGAGCTTACCCGGCCCAGCCTCTGCCCTGGTGGCAGCAAAGCAAAGCAGAGCTGAGGCCGCCATCCGGCTGCACCAAAAGCAGCTTCCAAAGGGAGGACGAAGGGTTAAGGAGCCCCRTGCTGAGATCTCCTGCGGGTGCTAGGCCAGTGAGCACAGGGGATGGAGAGGGACCGAGATCAAAGGGAGCCGCTGAGCCCCGAGAGACTTGTTACGCTCCTAAACGCTCTGGCAACGCTTTTCCCCCAGCTTTTCCTCCCGCAGAAGGCAGCAACGAAGGGGATTTGCACCAAAGAAAAAGGTTTGTAGCAGCAGAAGCCAATGGGAATTGCATCCTGGAGCCGACTCTTTCTCCGACCGCGAGTGCAACAGGCCGTTCCTGTGCTCACACTCACACGATCCTCCACAGGGTGATGCCAGCGTGGCCTGGGAGCCCCCCCATCCTCCGGCACCCGTGGGTGCCCCCGGCTCGTGCACAGGGCGCCTTTGTGTGAGGCCACCCACGGTGGCGCCAGTGTGGCCGGCGGGCGCAGAGAGCAGAGCGGGCGCCAGCTCCGYGGGCGGCACCGTCCCCCCCATGCCAAGCGCTGCCGAACCCTCCCAAGCCCAACGCCACATCGGCCCGGGCAGGATGCATGAATCCCCTGGCCCCGTCCGTCAGGGTTGCAACAGCCCTTGAATTGGCAACACCTTTCAATAGGCAGCACCACTGGGTGTGCAGCACCCTTTGCACGTGCAACATCGCCGGGATTTGCAGCACCCTTTGCACATGGCAACACCCCTTGGGGAACCCTCTGCCAAAACCCAATGCTTGTGCCCATTTCTCTGGGGAGACACCACAGAAACAGCCTCAAATGACAACCTCGAGGAGCACCCACCACCCAGTCAAAGTGCGCAGCTCAGATTTACGGAGCCGGACAGGGGGAGCAAGCAGCATCCCTGCCCCTCCAGTGCCTGGAAACATGAGCAGAAAGCCAGGAGTGCTGGGAAGGGGGGRAAAAAAGGTCTCTGTTATTTAATACGGGCGGCCGGTGCTGGCGGGCAGCCAGGCCCTGGGAGTTTTGCTTTCAAAGGGAGAAAGCAAGCGGGGGAGAGCACGTCCCAGCTCCGGATTGCTGCCCRGAGCGATGGCTTCTGGCAGAACCGGAGCTGGCGGGGGGGAATAAAATATAAGCCTGGGGCGGCTCCGCTCGGGAATGCTGCTTGCTCGGAGGAGGCATCATGGAAAAGCATCGCCCCACGGCCATCCGCCTCCCTTCGACACTCCCTCTTGTGCATGGGGGGACACTAAGAGGCAGTTTGGGACCCCACCATGGTGCCAGCAAGAAAATCCTCCTGCAGTGAGCCAGGAAAAAAATATCCCCATGGGAAGAGCCACCAGGGTAGGAAAGACTGGGGCAGAACCTGGCGTTTGGGCACATCTGGGCCCCCCCACTCTGTTCCTGACAGAAGAGATCCAACACCTGCAACTTTCCTGGTACCCCAAGACACRGGCGGGAGGAGGGTCCCCCCCCGCACTGCCCCTGCAGGGTCGGGTGTTTCTGAGGGCTGCTTCGCTGTGACCTTCAAACGGCAGCTTCAAACGGCAGCCCCCTCCCCACGCGCCCCCGTGCGGCCCCCACCTCGACACCCAGGGCACCCGCAGGCCAGGGAGAGGACCCAGCTCCGACGGGGACTGGGGCCCTTGAGCCACTGGGGCCAAGCACTGGGTCCCAAAGGAGGGGGTGGGTCTTTTAAGCCCCACCATGGGAGCCGGATCCACATCCATAGATCCACATCCCTATGGAAGGCGCCGGTCGCTGGGTGCCCAGCCTGTTCCCATAGGATGCTCCTCCACAGGGCACCTCCTTGCCCCTCGGGCAGGGTGACTGGGCAGGTGCCATCCCGTTGCCTATAGGGAGCAGAGTCCCAAAGCAGGGTGCCCCTCCGACACCTCCCAATACAGATCCCAGCGAAGCGGGCTCACCCGATCACCCACAGGGCACCGCTGCCTGGGGCGGGGGGACTCCGGCTCCCAAAAAAGGCGTCCCCCGTCCCCCCCGCGGGGTGCCGGTCCCCACGGAGGTTCCCGGTGCCGCGCGGTCCCCCCAGGGACCCCCCCAGGGCGCCGCTCCCCGAGGATGGCGCCGGCTCCAAGGAAGGCGCCGCCCCGACCTCCCCGACGTCCCCCAAGGGCGCCGCTGCCCGGGGGGCTCTCGGTGCCGGGGGCTCCCCCCTCGGGCGCCGCCCGATCGCCCGCCACCCCACGCCAGGACGCTGCTTCTGGGGCCGCCCGCGCCGGTGCCGGTGCCGGTGCCGGTACCGATGCCCCCGCCGCGGTGCCCCCCGCGCAGCGCTCACCAGCGCGGTGCGGGCGCTCAGCCCCGGCAGCAGCAGCAGCAGCAGCAGCGCGAAACGCCGCAGCCCCCGGGGCGCCGGCACCTCCGCAGGCATCGCGGGGTCGCAGGGACCGCTCGGAGCGGCGGCGGCGGCGGCGGCGGGCGGGAGGACGACGGCGAGGAGGAGGAGGCGGAGGAGGCGGGGAGGAAGGGCCCTTTGTTGCCGCCGCCCGCGGGAAGCGGCGGCGGAGGCGGCGGTGTCGCTGGTGGCCGGAGCGGCCCGAGCCTCCCCCCGGCTGCTCGGCCCGGCCCCCGCAGGAAGCGCGAACCGCCGGCCCGCCCCGCGCGCCGCAGGGAGGAGGAGGAGGAGGAGGAGGAGGAGGAGGCGGCGGGAGGAAGCGGCCGCGGCCGCCGCGCTCCCCCTACCGCGGGCTGCGCCCCGCCCGGCGCCCCTGCCCCGCCGCGGCTTGAGGGGCCGGGCGGTCCGGGGCACATGGGGGGGCACGTGGGGCAAATGCAGGAGCCGACGCGGGGCAGGAGCCCCGGCCGTAGCGGGCGGACCTGGAGTAGATGCAGAGGGAGCCAGGGCAGATCAGGGAGGGACCCGCGGGCGGACCCGGGGCCACCCTTTGCACCAAACCGGGGACGTTAATTCGGCCCCGATGGGTCGCGGGGATGGTAATTTCGAGCTGAGATGGGAGCAGAAGGGCAGGAATGTAAAACAAGCCGTTTCTCTTCCACGTGTAATTCTTACTAATGCATTTCACACACTTGCTGCAAAAGGCCTAAAAATATACATGGATATTGGGAAACAAAAAGGGGAGGGTAGGAACTGAGTGCTAAGCTCTGCACTGTGTCCCCAGCCAAGGGCCATCTGGAGGTTGGGATATTTGCCCTGGAGAAAGGTACCGTCCCAGCAGGGTTATTGAAATAATCCACGTTCAGGTGAGAAATAAACCTCATCTGTCTAAAACCCAGGCTTGGAGTCCAGGTGGCCCCAGGGCCCTCGGTGCACACAGGGATGGGGAAGGTGCGGCCCCCTGGGGCCGATGTGCGAGGGGGGCCGGAGGGACCCTCCTGGCCTCTGGGCGTCCCCCTGGTGTCACCGAAAACCTGAAATAAACCTCTCCACACCACGGCAGCATTAAGAAGCAGGCGTTCACTTTATTGCAGCGCTGAATGCACGGGGGACAGCTCCATCTACCGGGCACGCCCTGCGGTGCCTCTACCAAAACTTGCATTTCTCTGTTATCTACAGATGCCTTGAATTCTTAGAACCATCATAYATATTCATTCTATTTCCTAGAACTAATATACTCCACCCTCACACATGTGTGCTCCTTGTCCTTTTGGTGGTCTCTGGTGGTCTTCTGATGCCCCTGGTGGTCATCTTTTCATGTTCATTCACTGATCTCTGGTAATTCAATTCCATGCATGCCCTCATTTTGGCTCAGAAGGSCCTGTTTTGTTACTGCTGCCCAGTTTCAGCTGCTTCCTTGAAGATACGGTGGTCTTTATCTTCACCTTCAACCGCTGTTTGCTGTTTTATTCGTATTCTCTCATCATGCCCCAGTAATACCTGCTGTTTTGTCTGTGCCGTTTCATAATATACTAGCAACAGCAACAAAAATATGTCATTGAGTGCAGTCCTCTCTGGGGTTTCTCATAACACCAGGACCTCCATATGCAAGGGACAGGAGGGCCCTATGGACCTCCATGCAGCCCCCAAGGTCCTCTGTGTGCATGCAAACGGAGGCCTCTACAGTGTCCTCTATACACATGGGCACGGGGGACGCCTAAGGGGCTCCTTGCGGCCCCCAGAGGCCCCAGTACACACAAGAACAGCGAGGTCCTATGGGCTTTCATGCAGTCTCCTGGGACCTCCCTGCACACAGGGATAGGGGGACCCTACGGCCTTCCTTGCAGCCACCATGTGGTCTCCATTTGTATGGGGATGGTGGGGCCGTATAGACCTCTGTGAGAGCCCTGGGGCCTTCGCACACATGGCGAGGCGGGGTCCAAGGGCCTTGGTGCAGGCCTCAGGGGCCTCTATGCGCATGGGGCAGTGAGCCCCTACAGGCCTCTGTGCARCCTCCATATGCAAGGGGATGGGAGGGCTCTACAGGCCTCTTTGTGGCCCCCAAGGTCCTCCATGAGCMCAGGGACAGGGATGCACTAAGGGCTTTGGAGTGATACCCAAGGTCGTTTGTGCACATGGAAATGGGGGATCCCTACGGGCCTCAGTGTGGCCCCCAGGGACCTCTGTGTGGAAACGGATGGGGGAGCCGTCCTTTTGGCCTCCGTGTGGCTTCCAAGGCCCTCTGTGAGCACGGGAAGCCGGGGGGGGGGGGGCTATGGGACTCCATGCTTCTGCCAAGTGCCTCCCTATGCAAGGTGTCAGAGGGGTTATATGGGCCTCCCTGCCACCTCTTGGGGCCTCCATGCACACAGGGACAGAGGAGCCCTGCTGGACACCATATGGCCCCCATGTGCACGAGGACAGGGAGATCCTATGGGCCTCTGTGAGCACAAGCATGGAGGGGCCTGCTGGCCTTCATGCTTCCCCCGAGGACCCCCGTATGCACAGGGATGGGGGGTGGCCCTGTGGGCCCTGGGGTGTCCCCAAGGACCTCCATGTGCACAAGGACATGGGGCCCAATGGGCCTTCATGCGGCCTCCAGGGGCCTCCGTGCTCCTAACCCTAGCGGGGTTGGGGGCATAGGGGCCTTCATGCAGGAACCTGAGGCCTGCATATGGAAGTGAAAGCGAGGGGCCTATGACTCTGTTCAGTTTCCTGGGGCCTCTGTGCACACAGGCACAGGGGGACCCTGCAGGACTCTGTSTAACTCTCAGGGGGCTCTGTTTGCAAGGGGATGTGCAGCCCCCCAGGGACCTCCAAATGCAAGGGAACAGGGAAGCACTATGGCCCTCGGTATAGCCTCCAAGGGCATCCATGTGCACGGTGATGGGGGGGTCCTATGGGCCTCCAGGCAACCCCCAAGGGCCTCCACAGGAACGAGCGGGCCATAGGGGCCTCTGTGCGGCCCGCATTGACATCTGTGCAAACAGAGAAGCAGAGTGGCTACGGGCCTTGGTGCGTCCCCCAGGGGCCTCTGTATGGAAGGGGAAGGTGGTGCCCTACAACCTTCATGAAGCCTCCAGGGGCCTCTATGTGCACTTGGATCCAGGTGCCCTATGGGCCTCCATGTGGACATCAGGGGCTTCTGTGCCCAGGGATGGGGGGGCCATATGGGCTTCAATGCAACACCCAGGGGCCTCTGTTACTAAAGGGACAGGACAGCCCTAAGGGACTTTGTACAGCCCCCAGGGGCCTCCGTGTGCATGGAAACTAGGGACCTATRTGGCCTACTTATGGCCCCAAGTGGTCTCCATGTGGACAGGGCCAGTGGGGCCCTAGAGTTTCTATGCAGCCCCCATGGGCCTCCCTGCATGTGGGAGTGAGGGGGCCCTATGGGACCTCCAGGAGCCTCCATATGCAAAAGGACAGTGGGGCCRTATGGGCCTCTCTGCAGCCCCCTGGGGCCTCTGTATGCAAGGGGACAGGTGAACCCTGCTGGCCTCTCTGCAGCCCCCAGGAGCCCATGTGCACGTGGAGACAGGGGGACCATACGGGCCTCTGTGCAAAACGCAGGGGGTTCTGTGCACAGGGAGACGGGAGAACCGTATGGGCCTTCATGAAGCCCAAAACGGCCTCCGTATGCAAAGGGATGGGGAAACYGTGCAGGCTTCAGTGCGACCTCCAGGAGCCTCTGTGCGCACGGAGATGGGGCACAAGGGGCCTCTTGTCAGGCACCCAGGGCCTCCATGTGCATTGAGAATGTAGGCACCTACGGGCCTCCGTGTGGTGTGCAGGGGCTTCTGCATGCATGGGGATGGGGGAACCCTACGGGCCTCCATGTGGCCCCCAGAGGCCTCCATGTACACAGAGACAGGTGTTCCTACAGGCATCCGTGCGTTCCCCTTGGGGCTTCCTTGTGCATATGAATGTAGGAGATGTACAAGCCTCTGTGCAGCCCCCAGGGGCCTCCATGTTCATGGGGACAGGGGATCCCTGTGGGCCAACCTACATCCCCCATTGTCCTCTGTATGCACAAGGATGAGGGGGRGCCCTTGTGGTCTCCATGCAGCTCCAGGGGCATCTGTGTGTGKGGGGACAGAGAGGCCCTATGATGAGGGTCATGGCCATGTTCTTGGCATAACTCCTGAGTGTGTCCATGTGGCTGGGGATGTTGGGAGCGAGTGCTCCATTTTGTGGGCAAACACCAAACAGCCAGGC